GACTCATTAAAAAACAGACCTAGAGCACCTTTACCATACGGCTTTTTGAAGTGGAGGAAGAGTTTGTTTTTCTAGTTGGCTTAATTGCAGGATGGTGTGAGGCTTTCAAAGCTGCTGCTGTTCTATGAACTAAGGAGGAGACATTTTTGGTGCAGGCATCCCAATAATGGAATCTCCTTTCCAGTAAGGCTTGCCTGCTGGTGTGCATGCTAATGCCTTTCTTTTCATTAAAGACTTTCTAATTTTTATTTTCCCAGACCATTTAAAACCATGTTTAGTCCTGGATACTAAAGATTTCTAGTGGGGGCTTATACAATGTTTCTAGAATAATTTTATGTTGCATGGGCTGGTTTTTAGGTGGATATTGTATCGATTTCAGGTTTTAACCTCATCTTGATATTAACCTGGCGGCATGCATGCAAGAGATGACACTTTCCTCTTTGAAGCACCTCAATGCTGGGAAAAGTCGCAACATCTGAAACATTTCTACAACTCATACAGTTATTTAAAACACAGAAACAAAGATGGCAACAACCCCATCAACATGCTATTTTAAGTTGTTAGCTGCCTTCTTGATCCCTCGGAATGAGGATGAACTAAAAAATCTCTCTCTCTCTCTCTCTCTCTCTCTCTCTCTCTCTCTCTCTCTCTTTCACACACACACACACAGAGCAGACTAGGAATGTAGAAGGGATGATGTTTTAGATTAGAACATGGCTGTGCACAGATCCATCTTGCAGTTCTATGATGTGACGCAGCATCTCTAGAGATACTCCTGTCAGTGGTAGAGACTGGGATATGAAAGCTAGGAGCTAAACAGCCCCTTCAACCTAGGTTATGGGCACAATAACGGAATGTCTAGGCACGCTTTTTTTAAATAACAAGAATACAAAGCTGAAAATGAATGAACTGCAGCTAAAATATTATGTTCATTTCCCCCATGGTCTAGTCTTTTCCCTGCCCACCCCCCTAATATTCTTCAGAGGGTCTCTTCTCCAGTCTTCAGAGAGTAGCTGGAAGTGGGGAGGCAGAAAAAGGCCCTCCTTTACTTCCACTTTGCAGATTTAATCTGAAATCTCAGGAGCAGTAGTGCGCCCAGAGCTCAGAAACTGCCTGCGCTAATGAAATTTCCTGTCGCAAAATGTGCCTAGAACAATGGAAGCTTTGAACACTGCCTCCTGCACCTTTAATAGTTCTGTAGCCTAAGAAGTTTAGCATAGGTTCTGGTGCATTCTGAGTAATAGAGCAGTCCAATGGAGTTAGGGGGGCAGAGTGAAGTGGCAGGTGATTCTCCTACTTTCGAAGCCCAACAGGCTCATGCTAGATGGGGTAAATAAAAACTGGGGGTGTTTTCCTCATCTTTATTTATAAATTTGTATTTATTGGTTTTGGGTGCAAGGGGAGATCTAGGTTGCTGTAGTTGAAGAGCTTTGGATTTAGCAGATCCTAGGCCACCTATGCCCTTGTCCTGCAGCAGCACTAATATTTGGGGGGCTACTACCAACAGGAGATTTATGCCTGTGGGTCTGTTTGCAGCTGGACACTCCAGGTCAGAGGTACCTTCACTCCAGTGGAATGTCTCTCTGCTGGCAGAGGGGTATTTCTGCTCCCATCCTAACCCCCTCTACCAAGCAGGTCTGTGCATCTGTATTGTTTCGGAAGTCGTCTTCTTCTTTTGACCCATTTAAAAATGGAACAGATTTGAAAATGTAGTGACTAACACTGCCCTATTTTGCAGGTGCTGAATAATGCCCTGCTTCCCTGGATGAAAGCAGCTGTGTGGAAGAAAATAGGCATTTTTTTAAAAAAAAACATCAGACACTATGCTGCCCGAACATCAGGTGCAATGCTGGCAAAGTTAAGTATTTTTAAAGTCCAATTGATTTCAGTGGGCACCTGAGGAGCCATGAGTGGAAATGGAGACTAGCTTGAAGAGCACTGAATATGGAACGATAAAGCCATCATCGCCCGTGGTGTTCTCAGCACACTTCTTTCTCTCTACATGAATGATATCAACCCAGGCTATTGAAGTACCCCATTTCCTGTTCTGCAGCTTATTAAAAGGACTTTCCCCTTTACTTTCTGTTCCTGCATCATGATGAGCCTCAAGCATTCAATGAACATCTGAGTGGGGAGTTAGATCACAACTGCTAGCCACACTTCCTGCATGCTGGCATGCATTCCTGCATGACAATGAGGACCCTGAGCAACCCATCCATTGGCTGTGTGCTTGGCAGAAGTGTGATGATACATGTATACAGATGTACATGCTGAGACCTCCACTGGGGTTCATCAGGGTTACTGCAGAGGCAGATTTCGGGGAGCATGACCGGTTCAGCTGCACAGGGCATGGAGCCTTGGGGGATGACGCAGGAGACCCCACACCTATGCTTTAGAACAGGGCTCAGCAAACTTTTTCAGCAGGGAGCCAGTCCACTGTCCCTCAGATCTTGTGGGGGGCCAGACTATATTTCGGGGGGGGGGGGAATGAACGAATTTCTATGCCCCACAAATAACCCAGAGATGCATTTTAAATAAAAGGACACATTCTACTCATGTAAAAACATGCTGATTCCTGGACCATCTGCGGGCTGGATTTAGAAGGCGATTGGGCTGCATCCGGCCCCCGGGCCTTAGTTTGCTTACCCATGCTTTAGAATGACAGGGGGCACAAAATTTGGGCATCACACAGGGTGCTGCTGAAATTTGAGACCCCAAGGTCTGCCACTGGTTGCTGAATGCACAGAAGAGTTCTGTGCAGGGTCTCTTCACATTTCTGCTAAATGTGTAATTGGCAGTGGTGTGACTGATGGGTGCATTGATATTTGATAATGTGGCACATCCATGTCAACCTTGTTCTTCCCACATTCATTTGGGAATGTATGACAAGGGCCATGTAATGTGAGCATCTGGATTAGAGAAGAAAATAGGGAATGGTGGTTTTGACCGCAGCACAGAAGTCAGAGTGGGACTTGTAGGTAGGGTGCTTCCAGATGGGTGTTTATTGTGCAATTGGTGCTACTCAGGAAAGCAAGTGTTTTGCAGTGTTCACACATCTATTTGGAACATCTAAATTACTGGTGCTCCCCTCCCCCGAAAAATAGGTTCCAGCACTCACCATGAATTTGTTACAGTAAGTGCCACACTTTTTAACAACCACAAAATGGTGCCAGTACTGCGTACCCTCAAGTACCCCCTGAAAAAAAAGCACTGTTAATGACCTGTAAGCAACACTAAGCCCTTATCTAGAACCACCCATATATAGCTTTTTTATCCAGCATAGTTCCTTTTCTCACTGTTATGTCCCATATTTCACACTGGCCTAGTTTGGCAACTCCACATGTTCTGGTTTCTGAAGCTGTTTTCACCCTGAAGCTCTTTTGTACTGCTGAGGCACTGCATTCCCACAATTAGCTCAAAGTGGAATTAAAATGGTGGACCTATACAATTACTTAACGGAGCCTAATGGTCAAAGTGCACCAGTAATATTTGGTTGTAAGTGCCATTCACCAAAGATTCTTGGCAATGCTAATTAAGATTTTCTTCCTTGTAGGTTAAGACTTTTCATTGGTAGGTCACAATCCTAGCAATCTCTACTCAGAAGTAAGTCCTAGTGAACTGAATGAAGTGTCTAGTAATGATTGCTCCTTGGGTAGACTTTTAATTGTCTGATGTCAATTCTGTTGGGATAATGTGGAAAAGTTTCATCAAACTGATAGTGGCCTTGTTTCAAAGCGGTCTGTAACACATTTTCTCATGCCCTGTCCTTGATTTCTTTGTTGCAAGGAAACAAGAAGATTTGGCACTCTGCAGTCCAGATGAAAAGGTTTTGCTGGAAGCACAGCAAATTGTTGTGAAGGTCTTTGCATTTCCATGCCGTATTTCTTCGCAGTGCAAAATGGTGTCTTTTCTCTCAATGTTCATGCATAATGGAAGCCACAGCCCATAGCTGCAACCACTAGAGGGCGATGCAGCACTGAAGAATGACAGCACCGAGAAAACAACCCAGAAAATAGCAAATATTTGGCATAATAAAGATGGGGGGGGTGCGCCCCATTAACAAACAAGAGCAATTTATCACCATTCATTTTAAGCAATGTTTCACCTTCCATTTTAAAGCTTTTACGTAGCTTGAGTAGGTGTGAGTAACTATGAAAGCATTCTGGCTTCTTTTCAAATTGGAATTCATACAGTTTCTTTTCGTCAAGCGTTTTCATTTTCTTTGAACGCTTTTCCTTCTATGCAAAAAACCCAAAAACAAACCCACACAAAAACAGGCTTGGGGGAGGATGTTATTGAAGTAAACACCTGCTAAGTTCCACCCACCTTACCACTGAGAGCTGAGAATGGGAGGCTGCAGCTTAGATTTATAGTCACAGCATGTTTCTCGGTCTCTGTGTCCATGATGAGGGACCCAATTTATACCTATCTTTCTTTAGCCTGTGCAATGTTTTGATTTTTTTTTTGGAAAGCACAATCAGATTCCATTGTATTTCTGCCTCCCCCCCCCCCCCGTATCTTCTCTCCTAAGGCTTTCTTCCTTTATGAGAAAATCTATAACACACCTTTAAAATCTTATCTAGTCTTGGGACATCGCTCAGTCTAAATAATGAAGTTAGCAGGTCAAACTGAATACACTATCAGTCTTACACACTTCTTTGCACAGATGTCCAAATAACACCCCTTGCTTTAGGGCCCCCCCTTTAAATGAAACCTAAAGATGGAGAATGAAGACAGGAAAATGGCCGCCCTGTGAAATTTACTGTTCAAAACAAATCAAAAAGGGTGATTTCTAGGCCTAGTTACACCGAAGAATTAACCCTTGAGTTAAATGGTGTTGACGAAAAGGTGTTTTACACAGTGTAATATGTATTCTTGTGACCTTGCTTCTCTATACCTATAACAAATAACACTGGGCAACAATTTTTTACTTTTTGAATGTTGTCTAGATTTCTACAACTGATTTAGGGTATTTTTGCACTGCTGAATCAGAAAATGGCATCCGTTTCTCTCCATCAGGTCAGGTTTTCTGTAAACTGAATGGTGGGCATTGATAAAGGTAAGTACGCATAAATTGCATGTTGCTTCACAATTTTTCAAACTTCAGGGCTTGAACTTCTGTTTCTTGGAACTCCTGGAATGCTCAGCGGCATGAAGGTCTCTCTTCAGAGTCCAACAGTAGTCAGCCATCATGACTGCGTCCCAGCGACCCTGATACCTGGTCTCCATCTCTTTCATGTCCTGATGGAATCTCTCCCCCTGCTTGTCACTCATTGAACCCAGGTTCTCAGGAAACCGGTCCATATGTGAAAATAGGTAGTGCATCTTGATGCTCATGTTGCAGCCCAGGTTTCTGAAAGCAGTCAGCATGTTGTTGACAAGTTCTGCGTAGTTTCTGGCCTTATTGTTGCCAAGAAAGTTCTTCACTACCAGAACAAATGCCTTCCACGCTTCCAGTTCCACTTCGTTCATTGAGTTTCCGAACTCTGGATCTCTGATGAGCTGATGGATCTGAGGACCGTCAAAGATGCCAGCTTTCAACTTCTCCATGGTCAATCCTGGAAAAGCCTGGCACAAGTAAATGAAGCAGTCACCATCCTTGTTCAGAGCCTTGGTGAACTGCTTGATTAAGCCAAGCTTGATGTGCAGCGGTGGGAAGAGTATTCTGTCTCTGTCCACCAGAGGGTCGTTGATGACGTTCCTTTATTTGCAAGGCACCAATTCCTCCCGCACAGGCCAGTCCTTCTTCGTGTAATGCTGAGCACGGTCCCTACTATCCCACATGCACAGAAAACATGGGTACTTGGTGAAGCCAGACTGTTGTCCCAACAAAAAGTTCACCATCTTCAGGTCAACACAAATAAACCACTTATGCTGATCATAACCAATTTTCTCCAGCACATACTTCACTGCTTCATAGTTCTCCTTCAGTGTACTGGAGTGAGCCAGGGGTATAGAGGCAAACTGGTTGCCGTTGTGTAGCAGAACACATTTCAGTGATCACTTGCTGCTGTCAATGAACAGTCTCCAATCTTTGGGTTCATACTGTGGCACTCCAAGCTTGAGCAGAAGCTGCGCAATATCTGCACAGTACACCAAGTCCTTCTCTTCCGAGAAAAAACGGAGGTACTCTTGATGCCTGTTGCGGAAGAAGCTGATGCGAGCACTGTCAGAGAAGAGGTTTTTCTCCTTCAATCTGGATGCCAACAGTTTGGCAGAGTCCTTTGACAAGCTGAGGTCGCGAACTAGATCATTCAACTCCCTTTGGGAAAATGGATGTGGAGCATCATCTTCAAGAACCACTTCTTCTTCTTCATGTCCTTCAACACTGGAGGCATCTCCGTCACTAATGTCAGGAAGTTCTCCGAAGATAGGCACTGGAATTTCATCACAATGAGCTACAGGACGACATGCTGATTGAAGATCAGGATACTTTGTGGGGTGGCTGCCCCATTAACTTAGTTTTGATCCCCCAACTTTATGCTTTGCTGCACAAATTTATGGAAGATTTTGAGGTTTTATGACTTCAAACTGATCCCTTTTTGACATAATCACCCAGAACTATCGGACCTGAATACTTCTTGTCATTAAAATAATCATTTCCAATCAAAACAATTATTTGACAAGGCATTTTACCCCCACCAACTTCTTCTGAAATGCTCCACACAAGCGTACATGTGAACAAAAACGTAAAAAAAGACATGTGGCCATAGCTCAAAAACTTGACCTGATTGAGCAAAACCAATGTGATTTTTGGATTCAGTGCATCAGATTTGTCCTAAATCAGCTGAAAAAACGCAGACAACAAATTTGTTGTTGATCAGTGTAATAGCACACGTTACAGCTTTTCCTTGTCTTCTTCCTCTTCAGTCTCAGCAGTTTTTTTTATTGTTTTCTCTCTTCTGCACTGAGTTCGAGACTTCCATCATTCCTTATGCAACATGACTGGTGCTTTGCTCTTTTCCTTCCTGTTGGTTCACAATACTCTGTTTAAAAGCAACAGTGAGCCTAGACTCTGAGATGAGTGATTGGGTGACTGGATGTCATTCTCCTGATCTAACAATCATGGCTGCATCTCTTATGCCACATAGAGTATATCTTGCACCACCTTTTGCAGGGTTACCTTATGCCTTGTACTTAGTTTGGTTCTGCCATTTTAGTTTTCTGTCCCAAGTTCCTACCCCTGTGCTCAGTGCTGGATTTATGTATAAGCTAAACAAGCTATAGCTTAGGGCCCCACTCTCTTGGGCCCCCCCCAAAAAAAATTTAAAGGGGAAAAAAACTGGATGTACATTTCCAAAATATAAGATAAAAAACAAATACAATAAAACCTACATACAGCAACAGTATTTTGTGTTGTGTAGGCTCCTATGATGTAAGTAATGGGCCCTGCCTGCTAGCCTGCTCCCTAAATATCACATATTACCTTCAGTAGCTTAGGGCCTCATCAAACCTAAATCCGGCCCTGCCTGTGCTTCAAGGCAACCCCAGAGTCTTCCTTATACCGTAAGCCCCAACCCAGAATTTGTGTTGAACCGTCCTCTCGCCTCATTATTCCTTGGCTTCTCAGCTCCCTCTCTTTTCCTTCTTAGTCTGAGTGATTTCAAAGCCTGAAGATGCTCTTGTCACTGGCAAGGAGCTGCCATTGCTATGGCTTTCCTGTCATAGTTCTCACTTCAAATTAGCATCTCCCTCCAATATGAGCCACTTATCCATGATGTGTGTTCTCACAAGAGGATCAACTCTTTAGAGATGGCTGGTGGCCACATTGCTTTGTAAAGCATAAAACAACACAGTCCTGCATGAAGGAAACAAGGGACAGCTACCAGGGGGACTGAATCGCCTATTATTCCAGAGAAACAGGAGCACTTCCACTTTTGTCAAGAGGAAATGCTCAAGGGCACCGGAATGTAGCCTGCAGATTAGAACAATCCACATAACTACATGGGATCATCTGGCAATCTGAGTTCGCAAATATGCTCCTGCAGCTAATATGGATCACTGCATATTGCATAGTCTCTGTGTTCTGCCTGCAATGATCTCATGCATAAATCGGCACTGCTGACAGAGGGATCATGGGCTTAGCAGGCCTGTGCAATTCATTTCATTGGCAAAGTAATGATGGCCAAGGAAGAAACTGTGACCCACACAATTTCAGGTGCACATCGGCCACAGGCTTAGAAAAGCAGGTAAGACGTTCCTGTGTAGATACTGCCTAAGATGCCCCCCTTGGCTCTTGGCTTGTTATATTTTGCATGCTGTGCTTTTGCCTAGTATAAAGGTTTGTTTAATAAAGGATAACAAAATATAATGCGGTTACTGGTGGCAAAGATCCATGCTCCACTTCTCTGGCCTGGAATTAGCAGCTACCTACTAATATGCACTGTGACTGGCAATAATCCAGGAGAGGAAACAAAATAAATTGAACCAGTGTGCATTGAATGTGCTCAGACTTGTTAAATAACTCATCCAAATGAAATGTGATGTTTTGCCAGGGAATCAGATACAAGTATGGAGATTCGATTTGTGTGTGTGTATGTGTGTGTGTGAAACAGAGAGAGAGAAATGCGAATGTAAGAACCAAACATATTATTTATTTATGGGTGGTCCAACCAAGGTGTATGATTTGTGCAAGGGCTTCTGCTTGCCCTATGGAGCTTCCTATCATTTTTGCTCTCATGTGCTTCCCCAGTCTTTTCCCTGAGAAAGAATCGGGGCAAGGAGAAAACCACTTGGACCTCTGCCTAGAAAGCATGTGTCAAGTGGAAAACTGCTCTGACCTGTGATTTCTAGGTATGGGACAACTGGAAGTGTGGAAGAGCCCTTAGTTCTGAAGGGAGGCAAGGAAAACCAACATTCTTTGTTGTGGTCAATAAAGGGGACTGTAAAAAGCTCAGCAAATAGTTCTTTGTATGAAGTAGATACCTATTGTTTGCAAATGAAAACCAGATCCTGATTTATCGTAACTCAGGGTGATACTTCAATAGGAAAGCTCAGTTTGAGAACAACAACCAAAGCTATTGCCCCTTTTAAAAGCTATACGTACATTTAAGGACTTTCAAAAAATTTATAAGGATGCAATACAGCCAACTGATGCACTTTAAAGTCAAACTAGTTTCACAAGCTGCCCTGTTCTGTTTACATCACTGGAACCCAGAAGGGCTACACACACACATGACTAGGTTACCTCCATATGATTAGCATAATAAATATAATAATTTTTTCTCTCCTCCTGATACTACTGCATAGTATCAGCACACTTCTGGGATGCTTCTGCATTCAAAACATTTGGGAGACATCTCTATACTCTTTATTATATTATCTATATGGCAACAGGAAAACATATAGAGGCATTCTGGGTGATTACTCACAGTTACATGGTAGGAGCAACGCAGCTGTAGAGGCAAACCATATTATGCAAAATAATCCATACATGAGAAGAACTCTATAAACTAGAGCTTTGCACCGGATTCAGCTGAGAACTGAATCCCAGGCCAAATCAGGCCCATTTGGTGGGATCCAGGTGTCCTTCAAGTTGTGTTGACACAACCTTGGATGAGTTGAGTGGCTCAGTGCCATCCTGGGCTGCCAGCAATTAGGAGAAACTGTGGGAAAGAGTGTGGCTGCGTTATATACTGAAGTTCTCACCCTGGGTCAGCAGGGGGATACTGTAGATAGTTTTCACTCAGGTCCACATATGCAAATAAGGGATTGAAAGTGACGTTCAGTGATTGGATAGTTACGGAAAGTGTTACAGTTGCATTGTAGTGGAGCTCTATATAAGCAGGCTGGCTGAACCCTTCAGTTCAGTTCAGTTCAGTTCGGTTCTGTTCTGGCCTGTGAATAAACAAGAGCTGTTTGAAGAATCGCTGTGTCATCTGATATGTTCACCCACAACTTAACAGGCCTCATCTTCATGGGAGAAGGTGGGAGGTGACTTTCCCAGCAAGGCCTCTCCTCCTCTCTGCCCCTTGAATCAACACCAGGCAGTACAGTATTGGATTCTCCAGTGTAACAGGTGTTAAGCAAGATGATCTGATCATGAGCAGTGCCAGTCACTTCTCCTTTGCAAGTGACTTCTCTTGTGTACAAGGAAGCAGCTCATGAAGGAGCAGCAAGGTGCTGGATCTGATCCCCTGGCTTAAAACCCCTTCCTGTCCATATTTTTAAACCTCATTTTAACCGCATGTTAAATTCAGCTTTAAAAAACTCTTTAAAAACCCTTAGCCCCACCCTCTGAAATGCTGCAGGGATGAATCCAGCTGGGTCAGTGGCTTGCTGGGTGGCCCAGGGCACATCAGCCCTTCCTTGGGCCACATCTTGGGGCCACAGGGCAGATCACAGGGTCCATGAACAGCCCTTATATAAATGTTCCAATTATGGCAAAAGTTTCAGAAAGAAAACACATTTGATAATGCATCAGAGAACCCACCCAGGAGAGAAGACATATAACTAAGCAGGCCTTGGGAAAAGCTTCAGTCATAGTTCACTGCTTACAGAACATAAAAGCGTAGACACAAGAGAGAAACTGTATAATTTTGTAGAGTGTGTGAAAGGCATCCGTTGTCATACTGAAGTTCT